GGGGGAACCAACTGATGCATCCATAGTGGCACCCGCCCTGTGGAACGCCCTCCCACCAGATGTCAAAGAGAAGAACAACTACCAGACTTTTAGAAGACATCTGAAGGCAGCCCTGTTTAGGGAAGCTTTTAATGCTTAACAGACCACTGTATTTGAATACTTTGTTGGAAGCCGCCCAGAGTGGCTGGGGAGACCCAGCCAGATGGGCGGGGTATAAATAATAAATTATTATTATTATTATACAATTCTTATATCACCAGAAAGCAGCAAATCCTCCCCTGCTGCTTGCAGGGCATGTCCAGCTCATGATGGATGTCTGGCGAGTCTGACTGGGCCACATCCTGGCCTTGACGGACCTAAAATACGGCACACCCCTGTCCTCCCCTGTGCGTTGTATCCCCTGGCAGAAGACCTCCATCCATCTGCACTGGATTTGGAGGGGTCTCTCTGCGCATGCTCTCTCTCCGCCCCCCATCACTCTACCCCCAGGAAGAGCTGGTGATTGAGGCATTTCTGACCTTGCTGTTGTCTTCTGGGTGGGCTAAGGGGCTGGGGACTTTCCTGCCGTTGAACTTCAACCAGAGCCAATCACAGGCTCTGAGGCTGCCTGATCATCAGTTGCTGGGCAGGGAAGATCCAGCTGTTGCCAAACCCAACACTTCTTATTCTCCTCTCTGACTCTTCGGGAGAGGCTGCTCTGCTCATCCCAAGGAAACCACCAAACCCCACTTAGAAGCCCCTGGGATAACTTTAGACTTTTGACACTTACTGCCCTTGGCAGACTCTCCTTCTTCAAATTGTCCTATTTCAAGGCAAATGGGCCCTTTCACATTCACAGGACCTGCGGCTCTTTCTGCTGAGGGGGCCCCTGGCCTCCTGCCCCACAGCCTTGCCCTGGCAGCTCCCCTGGCCCCCCTCCCCACACGATACTTGGCTGAAGGTTCTCCTTTGCTTCTGCCTTGAGATCCAGGAGAATGTTTGCTCTTTTGCTGAAAGAGGATCTGCAAAAAAGATCCCATTTCCCCTTCTAAAGAAACCGTGACAACTGCAAGGTATAATATTGCACAGCAGGCTGGGCCTTGTCTGTCCGTCCCTGTGATGTCCCTGCACAAGCCTTGGCCCCAGAAGGGACGCCTCTCCCAAACCCCTCTCTGGGGGGTCATGTCCCTCCTGGAGCCTCTTGCCAGGGGGAGGAAGAGCTGGACGACTCTTTCGACTGGCATTCATTTTCGGAAGGAGGCATTTCTACAAGGTGCACATAGAACAGGGGCAGAATAGGGAGAGGAGGGAAAACACCAGATCAAGACCCCCGAAAGCAGTGACTCCTTCCCTGGGGGGACATGTTCTGTGCCCCTGGTCTTCCACTGGTGGGTCGCAGCCTGATCCCATGTGGGCTGAAACAGGAGCTCTGAAACCTCGCAGATATAAAGATGTAGAAATGCATGTTTGGGTTGAAAGGGGGTCTGGGGTCTGGAAAGGTTGAAAAGACCTGTCTCTGCCCCACAGCCAACTCATGAAGGAGGTCTGGCCAGCCTGACTGGGCCACATCCCGGCCTTGGCTGACCTGAAACACCCCCCACCCTCTCCTGTGGGTTGTGCCCCATAGCCTTAAGGACTTGGAGGGGTCTCTGCCCCTTCCCCCTCTTCCTCTTCCCTCTTGCCTTAGGAAGAGAGGACCCACTTTGCTCTCCTGAGGCAAGAGGGAGGGGGCTGCTCTCCAAGGAAATCTCCCCCCACCCACCTTGAGCCAAGGAGCCCCTATTCCTCTAGTAGAGGATGCTATGGGGCTTGCCCAGCCCCACTCCATTCAGCTCAGCCATTCCCAAGGGGGACCTTCCCTCAAATGGCAATTCCTCTTAAGCCATTGCTGCCTGGCTGAAGGGGGCTGTGCTGGGGGGGGGGCTGGAAGCTACTTCTCTGTGAGGAGGTTTTGCTGCGCTCCCGGTTGACCTCCGTCTCCTGGATCGTGGCCAGCTTCCCTCTTTCATTTCCCCAAAGGCTGAGCTGAGCTCCAGGCCCCCATGTGGGGGGAAGCGAAACTCCCCCCAGCGCCTTTCTGCAGCGTCTCCTCTGCTGCCAGAAACAAGGGGGCAGAAGGAGGGAGAGGTGGGGGAGGGAGACACGTACTGTGGGCCCAGAAGTCCTGCTTCTGTCTCCAGGGAGCAGACTGCCTGGATCCTGCCCCTCCTGTTCAGGGACCCCCTTGGCCCCCTCCTCTTGGTCTGTTTCTTCCTCCAAGAGGCCTCCTTCCCAGCCTCAGGCAGGAGCTGCATGGACACCCAAATTACACTGGCACTGCCTGCAAGGAGAAATCTAGCACAGCAGGGAGGAAGGCTGCAGTTTCCTGCTTGCAGGGAGGTTATTCTGCTTCTCCTTCACATTGGGGAGAGGGCAGTAAAAACATGAAGCTGCAGCTACAGTGGAGCAGTCCTTTCTCCCTTTCTCCCATGGGAGCAGTTGTGGAATATAGATCTGAAGTTTAAGCCTCAGTGCCTCTGGGGGTCCACAAAACCCACATTTCTCACACCCAGTTTGTCCCCTGGCAGCCCACCCCTGAACATCTTGTATTCCGAAGAGATTTTGACCCAGACTTTCCTCCTCTCTCTCTCTCTCTCTCTCTCTCTCTCTCTCTCTCTCTCTCCAGCCAAGGTCCTTCTCTGTGGAAGTGACTCCTCCACTCTTAAACTGAGCCTTTGCCCTCAGGTGTTGCTGCTCTTTTGTGCCACCACCAGGAACTGGGCCAATGTGCAAATCCAGTTATGGGATTGGAAGCTCATGTAGAGATAACCTTCCACCGTGGGCGTAGCCATGATTGGTTTTTTTGGGGGGCAGGCCTTTTGTTAGGGGGCAGAACCTCAGTTTGCTTTGTATTTTAATTGATTTTATCAGTTGGGGGCAGCTGTCCAACCCTCCCCCCACGGCTGTGCCGATTCTTACAACCTATTTGATTGGTCCTTTTTTGAAGCATTTTTTTCCTTCAGAAAAACAAGATGCAGAGAATTCCCACTATAGGTGGGGGGGGCAGAGTGCTGGGGGGAAATTGCCTCCTTCCTCTTTGAAGCAAAATGCAAAATGCTGTCACAATCTCACATCTTGCAAACGTTGTTGTTACCGTATTTTTTGCTCCATAAGGCGCACCTAGGTTTTAGAGGGGGAAATCAAGAAAAAAAAATCTTATTTCCCCCCAGCCCCAAAGAGCAAAGAAGAGCAAGACAGTGAGCGGGATCCATGCGCTTGCTGTCTTGCCTTCTGCCATAGCCGCGCGCAGCCTCTCCCGTCCGGAGGGGCTGCGCGTGGTTATGGCAATACCCCCACCTCCCGCAAAAGCCCACAGGAGCCGTGCAGAGCTTGTGTGCGGCTCTTGGGGGCTTTTCCTTCCTGCCTCCCCCCTGAATTCGCTCCATATGACGCACACACATTTCCCCTTACTTTTTAGGAGGGAAAAAGTGCGTCTTATGGAGCGAAAAATACGGTAATTAACATAAAGAGTCTGCCATTTGCAGTTTTGCATTTAAGTACAAAAATAGAAATCAGAGTATTGGATTTCACATTTTACATGGGATGATTATTGAAAGTGGGGAGAAGACAGCCTCTTAACTCTCCCCCTGCCCCCCCGCCCCATAATTCTTTGAGGCGAATCTTAAACCCAAAGCTGCTCCGACGAATGACTTGTTTTAAAAGTTCCTGTTTCGAGGGAACCCAAATGTCACAATCTCCATTTCTGCCTTGAAGCAAAAAACAGGGTTGGGGGGGGGGTAAAGCAGAATTGCTGCTGCTGCTTGGGGGGGTCTATAGTGTTGTCATTCTGGGGACTTTCCTGGGGGGGAGGCTTGATGGGAGCCAATCACAGGTCCCAACACTGCTTGGTCATCAGTTGCTGGGCAAGAAACTCGTTGCTCTTGCCAAACCCCTTAGAGTGCAGCACTTGCTGGTCCAGATGTGGAGAGTCAGCCCTGCAGCCTTGAGGGGCCTCCTGCTCCTTCTGCCGACTGGGGCGCTAGCCTTCTGCCCCCAAGTCTTGCCCTGGCGGCACTCCTGCCCTGCCCCTCTGCCAAACTCTGCCTTCTGTCTTGCTGCATTAATTGACTCCCCCCCCCACACACATTTTGATCCCACCATCTGAGATCCAGAAGAAGGTATGAGATTGCACAGCAAGCTGGGCCTTGTCTGTTGGCCTCTGTGATGTTCCTGTTCAAAGCTTGGCACCAGGAAGGACGCCTCTCCCAAACCCCACTTGGTGGTGTCATTTACCTTCTGGAGACTCTTGCAAGGTGGGGGTGAGAAAGAATTCCACAACTCCTTGCATTAATTTATCTTAATGAGGCACACAAAAATCGGGGCAAGACAGGGAGGTACCAGCAAAGCGTGAATCCTTCTCTGGGGCTTTTAAGGCATGTTCCAGGCAACACAGTCAACTCATGATGGAGGTTTGGCCAGGCTGACTGGGTCACATCCTGACCTTGCATGTCCTGAAACACACCCCTCTCTAGTGTGTTGTTGCCCCTGGAAGAAGACCTTCATTCATCCACCCTGAATTTGGAGGGGGGGTCTCTGCACATTTCCTCCCTCTTCCCCCACATCACACACTCCAGTCTCCGGAAGAGCAGGTGCTTTGATCTGGTGAGGCATTTCAGGACAGGGAGATGGGCTGTTCTGTTCCTCTCCTCTGTTCCCCCAGAGGGGGAATCCATGGGTCCTGTGGGATAATGGTTTGGGGCATCACACAACCTGCAGCAGGCCTTGAAGACCAGAAGAGTCCTGCCCCAGCATCCTGTTCCCAGCAGGGGACAGACAGGCAGCCCAGGGCAAAGGCAGGGAGGCACCAGCGCTGGCTCTCCTGATCTCTTATCATCCCCCAGAATCTGGGCCTAGAGACATGAGGAGTCAGTGTAGCCACTCTGGTTGCAATGCTACCCATTTCCTCAATGGTTCACCTTTTTGCTTTGAAATAATAAATATATCCAGAGCTTATAGGCAGAGAAAACAGCACTAGAAACAAATCAACAAACTGTAAGATTTATTCATTGCTTTTGGAAATATGGGAGCATGTATGAAAAACAGCAATTGGGCTGCACAGAAGCCATTGGGAAAGTTTTGCGGAAGAAGAAGGGATATTTTCCTCTACACAGATAGATACAACTCTGCTTTATGTGGACGAGAAAGGTGTTTGGGGTCTCTTCGCAACTAAACTTCCCCCAAAAGCTGGATGAATCCTCTTTGGGATTAAGGAAACACCTGAGGGGTGTATTCCTGCAGTGCAATGCATGGAACTGAGTAAGGCTCTCTCCAAAAACTGGAGAGGGAGGTGAATGGTTTTGGGTAAGTGGGGTGGAGATATGAATTACTATTCCAACTTCCAACTCTACAATTCTATGATTCTATAAAATGCATGATTACTAGACAATCTGAAGCAAAGGCACCAGGGAGTTTCAGAACCTGCATAGAGGGAGCAGAAAATGTTGCACCATGGCATTTAATGTGAGTAAACATTAATGTGAGTAAACCATATACTTTTCCTATTTGCTTAAACAGTCTGAGCAATTTCTTTGCTAAGAGGGAAACATAAAAGGGAGAAAAGTAATGTAAGTCTGCTTAAGCATCTTTGGCTATCATAATTGTTCTTAAAAGCTAAAAAGTTAATATATTATCGAAAAAGCTTCTAAGGGTAAGCTGCACACGGAGGAGCAACTCCTTCCAGCTGATTTGTAGCAGAAGAGACTCTTGGCAAAGGAGCTGAGCTGAGAGAGTTCAAGGAAGAGGCTGTCAGGAAAGGAATCCCCCATTATCTGAAAAGGAAGGAGAAGGGAGCTGGTGAGCTGGGAGTATTGAGACTGAGCACCTTCTGGGCAGGATGAGGCCCACCCCACCCCTTTGCTGTGTATTTTGGCTTCCCTTGCATTTGTCTCTGAGCCCCTGAAGGGAAACGGGTTTGACTCACATGAAGCCCCTGCGATCGTTCATCCTCATGGCCTTGAAGAAAAGGATGGTGCCAGCGATGATGCCCAGGATGCCAAAGGCCAAGCCCAGGGCACACAGCACGTTCTCCATCGTCTCTGGGATGGGAGAGGGCGCCTTGGAAACTGGGATGGAGAGAGGGAGGAGAGGGCTAAGGGGGGACTCTGTTTCTCTGAGTGTGTTCAGCGGAAGAAAGAACCCAGGAGTCCTGACACTCCACCCCCACCCCTTAATACACACTGTTAAACTGAGAGAAACTAACTCGAGGAACCCCCAAAAGGCAGCTGAGCACCTTTTTGTCTCCCATGGGTAGAAGCAGGAGAATAAATTATGCAAAATTGAAAGTGTACTTCACTTGCATAAATTACTCTGATCATCATAACTTCCTTCTTATGAGCCATGAATCTGGGTTTCTGAGTTCAAGTCCCAGAGAAAAGCCCCAATCCTGCCCGGTGCTTACCCCAGATCTTCTCCATCTTTCCCTCTGGGATGCCCCAGTGCTCCACCTGGCAGACGTAGATGTCTCCCTGCTCAGGGACGAAGGGGAGGTAGGAGAACTTGCGGAAACTGTTGTCCACGCTGGGGTAGAAGTCTGTCTCCTCCACGCCCTCGGAGACCACCTCGTTGTTCTTCAGCCAGGTGACGTTCAGCACTGGGGGGGAGAACCTGTCCACAAAGCAGATGAGGACGTTGGGGTCCCCCAGTTCCACAGCGTTTTCTGGGTACACAGTAGCTGAAGGAGCAACTGAGGAAGGAGATGGAGAAAGAAATGGGATTAAAACCCATTTGAAGCAGTCTAGAAATGGAAAGCATAGCAATCAGGTGCTGTGGGTATTTTTGCACCGGGTGTTCAGGTTTGGCAATGCCTCTGAGCTTGTACAGAGTGCAATGCTGCCCCTCCCATCAGGCTTCCCTTCCCTTTTAGCCTGTTTCACTCAGCCAAGGACTGGCTCCCTGGAGCAGAGTTCCCTCTGGGGAGGCAGAAAGGGGTCCTGAGGGGTCTTCCGTGTCAGAAGCCAAGAGACCACCCCCTGCCTGCCCCCCAGCTCTCTCCCCTGCCCCCCTCGCGTGTCCTACCGTTCAGGGCACGGGTGCGGTTGCTTCGCTTCATGAGCACCTCCATGTTGTTCTTCATGACGGCGATGTTGGCCAGGGCGCCCTGCACCTCGAAGCTGGTGAAGCGCTGGAAGTCCGGCAGCCTCCAGACGTTCTGCTTCTTCTCCCAGTCCACGTGCAGGATCTCCTCGTTGTCAAACTCCAGCAGGAACTCCCCGGACTTCTTCTCCGAAGGGAAGCTCTCCTGGAAGAAGTCCAGCTCCACCAGGGTGTCCTCCACTGCAGGGGAGGGAGAGAGAGAGGGAGGCTTTAGGACCCCGCAGCAGGATGAGGGAGAACCTGCCCCATTGCTAGGAATGGGGCCACCACCAGGAAGGCTCTCTAAGAAGACGGGGGGGGGGCGTAATCTCCTCCCAAACACACACACATTTTAGTTTTAAAATCCCCTCATTTCCAAGCCCCAAAGGGTGGTCCTGGGTGCACTTGAATGTGGGCGACTGGAGTTGGAATAATCATTCAAGAGAACAATCCATGCCTCCATGTGCCTAGATCTCCACTTTGTTCCCAAAGTGAAACCAATAATAAATGCATTTCCTCTCTCAACCGTGGATCATCCACCGTCACCCCTTGAGTTGCCTCATGCCACGAATTAAAACTTTGGGCATATTTCTAAAAGAGATAAATCTGTTGGACACACAGACGGAGCCATTGGCCATGCGCCTCTTTCCTTTCCTGAAGCGACTTCCTTGTGGAGTTCACTCACTTACTCAAACTAAACCGCGTCTTCTGGGGAGTGAAGTCCCTTTGGGTCCGGCTGGGTTCCCTGCCAGGCAAGTGGCGATATGGGGGGCAGCCGAAGAGAGCAGGTTCTGGCCCCTTTTGTGCCAGGAGAGAGACTACTCTGTCTTCGGGGGCAATGGGGTGGGGTGGGGGGCTGAATTCTTTTGGGGGCGACCACTGGGGGCTTCCGGACCAGGCAGGTCTCTGTGGCAGCCGAGCCCACAGAGAGGATTAGTAATTCTTGTTTTATTTCCCTTTCTCTCCTTGTAACAGGAAAGGCTAGGAAGGGGCACAGACTCCGATCTTCTAAGTTGGTGTGTGTAGGGGGGGAAATGCTGTTTTCGCCCCGTTTTCCACTCTCATTTTTTTTTAGACCACCTTATTTGAGGGAGCAAATCCTCCTTACTCGTCATCCTCCCATTCCACGCACCTCCCAGCACTTTCCGGGGGGGGCGTCCAATTTCCTTCCTCCCCCCACCCCTCCGTCTTCCCGGGCGCAGCTTCTGCCCCTGTCGGGGGGGGGGGCTTCTCCTCCCTGTAGCCCAAGAGACCCCCCCTCCTTTGCCCACAGGCATCGCCCAGGGGCGCAACCTTTCTTCCCCAGCCCCCCTCCTGGGACCCCTCCCCAGGCATCTCCCCCTCCCTCCTGCGCCCCCTGACCTTTCAGGGCTCCGGCCCCCCTTGGCGGGGCGAGGAGGAGGGTCGCCCAGAGGCAGCAAAGGGCTCTTCCTCCTCCTCCTCCTCCTCTTCCTCCTCTGGGCTCCATCTCTGCAGCTCTTCCTGGGCCGAGGCGGGCGAGGGGCGATTCAAGCCCAAGTGTCCCTTGTCCCTTCCTCCTGGATGCTCGCCCTCCAAGTGGCTGTGGGGCGGGGGCGGCCAGGGGGCGGCTTTGGCGCAGCAGGAAAGTCCCTGCCAGCTCGGCCAATGAGAAAGCGCCCTGGCGATGACCAGCCTGTCTCCAGGTAGACCATCCCCTGGCAGGAGCCTCAGGCGGAGACGGAGCGAAAACAGCAGCAGGAAAAGGGCAGCTGATATTTTTGGGGTGGGGGGCCTGGATCTCCCCAAGAGGGGAGGGGTCTCCTCCAGGGAAGGGGCTGCGGGGGCTCCTCTCTGTCTCCCCCCCCCGTGTGTTTCTTCATGGGGCTCCTCAGACACCAGCGCCAGGGATGTTTCTTGCACAGGGGAGCTGGGGGCTGGAGGGGGCTTTTATTGGGGGGAGGGGTCTCCTTATTGGGGGGCTGCCAGGTCTCCTCGGGATGCAGGCTGGGGGGCCAAGAGGGGGAGCCCCCTCCCTCAGCACACAGTTATTCCCCCCCTTGAAATTTCCTTCCTCGTTCCGGATACATGAAGGAACGAAGGTTTAGCGGCTTAAAACCCAGCAAAAGAAAAGCGCATCTCGCTGTTTTGAAGCCTGAGTCTGAAATTTCCCCTTTTGCTGCCAGAGTAAAGTTTTGGATGGAACTGACAGGTTCTTGTTAAGCTTTATATCCCCGCAAAGGTTTTCTGGGGAAGATCTTGATTCACACGCGACGCAGCAACAATGGAGACCTCAGAAGCAGCTGCGAAGGCAAAGAGGAACTTGCAGATCGAGCGAGAGCAGAGAGAGCCCTGATAATGCTCTTTCCAGAAGTCCCCTGCCTGGCGACCGATGACGCTGCCTCGGCTCGGAGGCGGATTGGACGCTCGCGGGGCGGGGCGGGGCGGTGGAGTGGGCGGGGCTTGGGCAGGAGTTTCCCCCGGGGCTGAGCGGAGAAAGTCCCATTTGGGAGTCTTGGGGGGCGAAGAAGAAAGAAGGATGGGGGGCTCCGGCGCTGCGCCTTTGGCCTTTGGGGGGCTCCTGCTGGGGATGCTGGTGGTCTCCGCTTCGGAGGGGCTGGGCGTGGAGGCGCCTCCAGGTGAGCAAAGATTCTGCAATGGGGGGAGAAGAGGAAACTCCGCTTAGCGGGACCCCCAGCAGTGGGGCTCCTTTGAGAATCCCTCGTAGATGGTCTTCCACGGTTTTAAAAGTAAGTCCGTAAGTAACTGTGGAGGCCAGTTCTGGATCCCCACGTCCTTCCACAGGTGAGACATTGGTTTCTGGGCGGGAGTTCATCCCTCGAGGGTTTGCCAGGCGTGCCTTCCTCTTAGCACGTTTCTCTCTTGTGTTCTGAGTTCGAGTGTCTTCAAAGCCCAAGACACCTTTGGTCAAGGCTGTTCCCCAATTGGAGCGCTTGCAGGACAGTGTTTCCCAATTGTCAGTGTTTATTCTACATTTTGTTAGATGTGCCTTGAGAGAATCTTTAAATCTCTTTTGTTGACCACCAGCATTACGTTTTCCTTTTTTAAGTTAGGACTAGAGTAGTTCCTTTGGAAGATGATAATCGGGCATCCGAAGAACATGGCTCAGTTCAGGGAAGTTGATCCTGAAGAATCCTTTCTTCCCCACGGGGGATCTTTGCTTCTTTCAGGACACTGGGGGGCAAAGGGGCAGGAGGGAGGGGGAAACACTCCCCCCCACTGGAAAAGAGCAGCTCAGGCTTCTGGGATTGGGAAAGAGAGTGCATTTATTTCTTGCAATTAATTATATCCCACCTTTCAGGATTAAAATCCTACCCCAGCAGCTTACAAGTAACATTCAGTTGAATTTTAACAAAACCACAATATCCACACTAAATAGGCTTCCTGCAGGACAGCTGATGGCAGGCAGCCCTAGGGGACTTTTGGGGGGCGCGGGGGGGGGAGCGCAGCTGAATCTGGCCCTGAGCGCTTCTTCACCTGCCTCATCATTATTAGTCCATTTACCTCCCATCATTTCCAGGAGATCTCATAACCAATTACAGCATTAACTTTATAAAGGACTCCACACAACGCATAAATAAATGTACCTTTCTTCTGCTCCTAACCTAGGTATGGGCATAGCCAGGATTTTTGTTGGCTGTGCAGGACTTGTTGGGGGGGGGACACCTCAGTTTGCTATGTATTTTTATTGATGTTTATTGATTGGGGGGGCAGCTGCTCCTCCCTGCCTACGCCCGTGACGCCGGCAGCAAAACTGGGGCAAATGGCTCCCTGCTGTGACAGGTCCCCTCTCCCAGTCGTCCCCCCCCCCGCCTTGGGGTCCTCTGGGTGCTGAAATGGGCTCCTGCGTGGACAGGCGTCGCTTCCTGCTCTGTGGCAGGGAAAGCGAAAGTGAAACTGCGTCTCCCACAGCGGGAGGGGGGTCTCGTGGGAGGGAGGGGGCATTGAAGCGTCTCCCACCCTCCTCGGCATCTCGCCCTTTTCTGGTCTCTCTCCCACCCCCAACATTTTCTCTAGCCGGGAGGGCAATAAAAGGGGGGAGGGAGGTTTAGGTTTTTTTAAAAAAACCTGGAGATAAGCAGGGGCATAGCGATCGGGGGCAGGGAGCAGCTGCCCCCCTTAAATAAATTAATTAAACAAAGCAGATAGCTTGCTTCTGTCCCCCTCCCCAATAAATCCTGGCTACGCCCATGGGGTCCCGGGCCTTGGAGGTTGTGCCTCCCTCTCCACACCGGCCTTTCGCTATCGCTCTCTCCCTTTCCTTTGGGAGGAGGTCAAAGGGGGGGTCTCCCTGCTCAGCCTCCGCCCGCCCCCCCCCCGCCCCGCCATGGGATTACACGAGAGAGAGAGAGAGAGAGAGAGAGAGAGAGAGAGAGAGAGAGAGAGAGAGAGAGACCGTCTCTCTCCTGCCCGGCAGCTGCAACTATCCGCTATCGTGAGACCTGCGCCTTTAAGGAAACTGGAAGTCTCTGTCTCTCCCCCCCCCCCATTTCATTCTCCCCCCGCAGAGCATTTCCTGTGCCAGGTGAGGCAGGAGTGCCACTTCTCCAACGGGACGCAGCGGGTCCGCTACATATATAGGGAGTTCTTCGACCGGCAGGAGCTCCTCTACTTCGACAGCGACCGAGGGAAGTACGTGGCTGTGGCTGAAATGATGGAGTCCGAAGTCAAGGCATGGAACCAGGACAAGGGAGAGCTGCGGACAAGGATGGCCCAAGTGGATGTCTTCTGCCGGCACAACTACGGGGTCCTCGATCCCTTCTCCCAGGCCCGGCGTGGTGAGTCCAGAATCGGAGAGGGGGGGGCGTCATGGGAAACGGGCCCCCGGAAGAACCCAAAATGGGGGGGGCGTGGGGTGGACCCGGGACTTTCTCCCCCCGAAGCCCCTCCCAGCCCTCCCGCTTTTCAGAGAGATAAAGGGACCTTTCCTGATGCCCCCACTCCTGACAAGAGTTTCTGTGTCCCTGGAAGCATCACAAACCATTTTATGTGTTGCAGTCTGGACTCTGGAGGGTGTCTCTCTGTTTGTTTGTTTGTTTGTTTGTTTGTTTGTTTGTTTGTTATTAATTAAATTCGCATCCCGCCCTATACCTGTAGGTCTCAGGGCGGCTTGCAACACAAAATTGCAGTATTTGCAATAATAATAATAATAATTAACAATAACAAACAACAATAACAACAACTATAATAATAATAATAATAATAATAGTAGTGATTTATTATTATTATTATTATTATTAATAATAATAATAATAATACCCCATCCATTTAGCTGGGTTTCCCCAGCCACTCTGGGCAGCTCTCAACAGAATTAAAAGCACAATAGAACATTGAAAACTTCCCTAAACTTCCTTTACTGCCTGTGCTGTCTATGGGTCCCCCTCTCCTCTCTCCACCCCCACAACGACCCTGTGAGGGAGGCCAGGCTGAGGGGGGGCTGGCCAGGGACACCCAGGAGACTCAAGGCCCAGGGGGGATTTGAACCCAGGACACAGTCCAACACTGGACTACATTAGAGTGGGGGGCTGCAAGGGGGGCACAGGCAGCCTTTCAGGGGAGCAGAGAGAGCGCATTTCAAGCAGAAACCCTGAACATTTTTAAAGTACAATATGATGTTATTTGGACATCACTCAATTGTGACACCTTAGCATGTCATTTCTTGCACACTTGACATGGATTCAGGTAGAGCTGCTATATGTCCAGGTTTCCCAGGGAATCAGGGTGTTTAAATCGGGGGGGGGGGGGTTAGAAATTAACCCCACAATCTCAAAATCACATACGTTCAGGATTAAATAATAATAATAATAATAATAAACATGGTCCATTTCCTTCCCACCCACTCATTACTATTTTCAGCTACCAGGCTCCCCTCCAGCCCCCCCCCTCTGTTCTCCAGGGATCATCCCTAAATCAAAAGGATACTGTGCAGTGAATTCTGAAGATCATCCTATTTGCCAGGAAAATAGGAAGGACAAATTCCTGAGATTGCCAGGACTGGGAAATGAGATGGAAGGATGGAAAGTGTCCTAGGAAGGGGAGGGGCATCCCAAGGACCCCCAGGGAGGAGAAGTTCCCTGTTTGTGGAATGCCCAGCCTGACCACTGGGGAAACTGGGATGACTTTGGGGAGATGGGGGGGTCAGAGATCCCACTGGTGGGAGTCGGAAGTTGGGGGCTGGGAGTGTAGGATCGACTGACTGTCCCAGGGCCCCAAACTCGGCTTTCTGTCACCCGGGCAAAGACACACACACAAAGCGCATAAAAAGGAAGATGCTGGAGAAGAGACAGTCTCTCCAAATAGTAACATTGTCTGTTTGTGTATCTGGCTTTCATTCAACCTTAAGCAGATCTCCTCAGAGAGTAGTAGATCATTTGAGGAATTCTAAGAAATATAATGATTTTTTTTTTTGGAATTTGCATTTTATTTATTTGTTAACATTCTTATATTACATCGGTAAACGTTGTCATATTACATTACAGGACTTACTGTAATACAATTTCGGACGAGTATACAAAAATTATATACAAATTTTATATACCTAGAAAGAAAATGAAACAAAAGAAAGACCAAAGAGAAAAAACAACCCACCCCCACCAAA